GACGTGCAGCAGTTTGACCCGTGGTCTGCCCCGCCCTTTGTGATGAGTATTTAAGCTTGTGAATTTGTTGTAAGATTCAGTGTATGTTCAGCGTTATCGTCGGGTACGTCTTCCGTGTATCGTCGTGCATCCCCCCCGTATTCCGCGTCACCGCTCCGTGTTATCAGTATTCAGGATCGTGGGTATTCAGTATGCCCCACGTTTCGCGTCCAGCGGTCCCTTTCAGTAGTATCACACTGCATTCCAGTATCAGCACCTTGTCCGCAGCGGTTGTCGCTGCAAGCGCTCGATTTAACCCCGTCGCCCCACCGAATCGCTTGTAAGCTTGTATCAGTGTTGATAAAGTTTGTGTGTTTACTCCAATTTGTCCGCTACGTGCCACAGTACAACAGCATTCATCCAATTTCCCGTCCGAAGCTCGTCTTCATCGATGTCGTCGTAAAGTCGTTCCTTGTCGTGCGCATAACACATGCGAAGAAGGAGGCAGGGTTCGTGCAGAATTGTCTGTATCAAATAATTTCACTTACTAGTGCATGCGGTGCGGAGGGATGCGAATGCTCAATTTACTTTTGCGGCCACTCACTGGGCAGCAAATAGCATCGTAAAATTCTGCTCAATTTAATTTTCTTGTCAACATGGTACCAATTTAAATGTGACGTGCACGTACGTGAAGCCTAGAGATGCATGAAGACTAGATTTAAATTATTCGGGTCATGCGTTCTTGGTCACGCGTGGTCGAGAAAGTTCATGGAGTTTCAGCCTTCTAGTTTGCCTGGTTCCCGAAATCGTTTTTCCGCCAAAAAATCTTTCACCTCTCCGTAAGTGGACAGGAGGCATCAGCGTTCATTTTTGTGTGGGCGAAGTTGCCAACGTTTCAGTTTTGTAGTTTTCGAAAATCTCGAAGTCAAAGAGCCCGGACAGATGTTGTGTAGAAACAGACAGCCTTGTTGCGTTGCATAGATGCAAAAAAAGAAAAGAAAAATGAAAGAAATTATGTGAAGTGCTTGAGTTTTTTTTTGTTACAAATTGCTACATCCTTAAAATTTATGTATTGAACATAAAAATTGTCTGAATCAACGGGTTTTAAAAGACGACTAGTTTGTAATAGTATTATAAATTGCATCATGAGAGCAAACACTGCCAGATGGCCGAGCATCTCAGTGGTAATGTCTCGGGACGAGATAGTGACAGCAAATACGAATTGCTGAATCTCTAATTGGCTAAAAGCCTTTTCAAAGTGCATCTGTGGGGAGAGCCACTGAGCCGGTAATTCCATCAAGAGACAGAAGAAATCTTAGGATCGTCGACAAGCTCATCACTAAGCGGTATAGCCCTGGTCAAAACAATTGAAGAAGAAAGACAACATTACTGGAAAATCAGCGGTGAACTAGTAACCGTATCAAGCGGCAGGCAAATGAGGCTCAGAAAACGAATGAAAAAGGAATTTGCATTATGCAGTTGCATTTAGTACAACTGTCTGCTAAATATAAAGCTGTCGACTAAATATAAGTTGGTTTATTACGAATATTTTCAAAGGAGCTTTCGAGCGTAGAGTGTTCACAAATAGTATATACTCTTGT